ATCAATGTTTGTAATTTCACGCAAAATTTTGAAATAATGTGGCAACAATGCTGCTGATTCATCATACCGTGCTTTTATTGCTGATAGTGAGGAAACATCACCTTCCACAGATTTCTTAAAATTAAACAGCTAACGCTCCAATTGTTCTTTTGAGGTTAATAATTCATTTAACTTTTCATGATGAGCAGGAGTGGAAAGCGTTGGTCTGATTTGGGAATTAGATGCCTTCGCAGTTTTTGATTTCTTCATTATTTTTATTATTTTTCATTTTTTTTTTTTTTTTTTTTAAGAACCGCACTTAACCGCTTTTAACCGCATTACGAATCAAAAAATGGATTTACACAATTTTCATCAATCCATCATCAAGCTCGCCTGGCAACAATGTACCTAGCAATGCGTTTTTTTTTTTAAAAAAATTTTCGTTCCTGTCGAGACACCCCCTCTGTACTATCGATTGAGAAGCCTAGGCCCAGGTCTTACACAAGTATCGCAAGGATATGAATGGAGGCGAAAATACCGCTCACTGCGATCTTATTTCTATCCAAGCTTAATTCATGAGTTCACATCGGGAATGGAGGCGAAAATATCGCTCACTAAATTCTCTATGATGTAGCTTTTAAGCTCTCAGTTTGTATGTGTGCGACAATATCGCTCACTGCATTTATATTATTATCGAATGGAGGCAAAAACCGCTCACTGCATTCTCAATAATAAATTAGTAAGAAATGCCCTTGTCAAAGTGTTAAACGCAACGTCTTCTTTTTCTCTCTTTTTTTTTTAGGTTATCTCAAGTACAAACATTTCATCTTCACTCTAATTCCTTATTATTATTTTTTTTAATTTGACAAGAGATTTCGAGTACATAATCACATCAAGGTCACCAAATGAAGCTATTTTCAATAGCTATACTAATCAATAACTAAAACAATCTCAAATACGGGAGGAAAACAAACTGGATCGCAATACCTTATATATTTTTAGCACAAAGACAACAGCAGGGAGAAGTAACTAGGCAACTAAAAACTGTACAATGTTGTAGACACTAGACACATCATAAACTTAATCTTGGATTCCAGACGCTTCTCTTGATNGGGGGGGGGGGGGGGGGTTATGCCTTCATTTATGAAGTTTACGACTATATTTACAAAGAAATGGAGACCCCTTGCGCTTGCCTTGTTCCTTTGATGAATATTTAAAAAAATGCAACCTTCTGCCTGTCACATTTGGCAGCCATCTTTGATTTGGAGCGCCCCCTTTGACTGGGGGGCCTTGTGGAGTTCATTTATGAAATCTACGATCAAAATTACATATGAAATGATACCTCACATGAGACAGAATGAGAATTTTTAAATACCGATTTCCCAGACCTCATTACGGCCGCCATTTTCACTTTTGAGCACTTTGAGGGGTGTTCCGGGGGGGGGGGGGGGGGGNGCCTACAGTTCATTTACACCCTGTTTCGACTTATTTTCGTGAAAAATGAGTCTTTTAAACCGCTACTTTGTAAGACCTCGGAAATTCTGAGGACTAAAAAAATAAAAACGGAGGTGAGTTTTTCTAGCTCAATTTTATTTTTATCGTTTACAAAGACGTCTTACTAGAGTAAAATTTCATCCTCTGCAACTTGAGTTATGTGGCATTTTTCTTGTAAACGCACGATTTCAGCGTAAAATCGAGTTTTTTGTACGAAATCGAGGTCTAAACCTGAATATCGTAATTTCATCACAAAATTGACCTTTGGTACTATTTATAATGGTTGAAATTGACCCAAATTATGGCAAACATGCTTTCTTACCAAACGTCATCGATTGCCGCCTGGAGAGCGGAACATTTCAGACTTTCATTTTTTTTGACGCACCCTAGGGGAGCCCTTGATGACCATCATTAGCCCTATCTCGATAGTGTATTTATCCTGCTGTACCATTTAGGATATACATGAATGTAGTTCATAATTTGCCACTATTTGCCCTGAATTTGTTTTGAAATTATGACGAATGCTGTCTTCTTTGTTGACTGAATAATTGTCACTGACTATGGTACGATTGTAAAATAAATCGAAATAAGGTGTTATTTCAAAATATGTTATCCGTTTTCTCCATCATCAAAATGCCTATCGTGATAAAAATGTTTAAATCATGTCGCAGACCAAAATATATTTTAAAACGTAGGTAGTAAAACTTTTACTAAGAAGTTTGCTTAGTTTTCAAAGCCTCTTGAATTCTCATAAAACAAGATCTTCTGGAGTGTAGCAAGTCAAAAAGTGACTGATTGACACAGTTTAGAGTTGGTTTAATGTACTCCTCCATGATGTTCAGCATTATTTTTATTGAAGGGGAAAAATGATTTGGTTTCTTTGAATAATCAACACAATGGACCACTAGACAAGGTACGAATTAAAGGATTCTAATACATGTTTCTTAATTAAAATTTCAGGCAGAACACGATTCACGCAACGAAAATAACTGTAACCAACTCTTAACGAAGATATTGAGTTTTAATTTCACATTGGTTACAAGGAATTTGAACTGCCCGCTCACAAGAAACTCAAAGCTCTACGCGAGTCAAATCGCGCACTACAACGGTTTCAGCAATCTTCTCAATCTAGCAATGTTCATTTCCCACCATGTGTTGTTCATTTGTTCAAACTATAAGCAATTTGCTATAGCTGAGCCAAAGCGTCAAGATTGAGGTTGCCAGATTTTTATATCGCAGAGACTGTCATGATAAAACGTTTAGCGCGAGATGTGAATCAAGTAGAGCATTGAGTTTTCATGAGCGGGTGGTTTGAATTAACGCATTGAGAATTATTGAATATCTTCGTAAGGAGTTGATTTCGGTAATTTTCGTTGTGTGCATCGTGTTCTACGTGAAATTATGGTTAGGCAGCATGAATCAGAATGCTGAAATTCGTACCTTGTCTAGTGGTCCATTGGTGTTACCATGGAAACTATACAGGGTGTCCCGAAAGTCCCTTCCACCCCCTCTAAAATTTTACCTAATTAATATTTTAAAACGAAACTTTACGGATGTTCATCGATCAATGTTAGCTACTTTTGGGGCCCCCCCCCCGTGGGGAGGGGCTGCGGACCCCAACTTTTTTTTCCAAATAGCAATCCCCCTTTGTGACACATCGATCAAAAGAGGATAAAAAAAGAAAATTTTTGGCGCAAACCGCAAGTCAAAATCTTAATTTTTGACAAAATGGCGGCCGGTCAAAGTTCAAAATCATGAAAATTTGACATGTCCATTTTTTGGACGGATTGGGACGAAAACTGGTAACCGACGGTTTTTTGGGACGAGGAAAAAGATTTTGGCATTAGTTTTCTGGACATCCTGTCATTCTCAAAATGGTGGCGGTCAAAATGGCGACCAGGAGCGGTAAGGGAATATTTAGGCTGTTTATCGGTGGATTTGCATGAAACTTTGCATTGGAGGTATTTAGGCATGATAAAAACGAATTTCTCATTGGATATTTTAAATTCTGAATAACTACAAAATAGCGCCCGAAAAATGGTGAAAACTTGGAATTACATACGTTTGCGGTTGGATTCTCATGAACTTGGGGTTTTGTTGGTTTCTGGTTCGACACGAATGGCTTCTAGCTTTAAATTTTTAAAATGTCAGACACTTTCAAAATGGCGGCCGAGTTTCATGCGAATCCAACCGTAAACGTCTGTAATTCCAAGTTTCCATTATTTTTCCGGCGCCACTTTGAAGTTCTTCAGAATTTCAAAAATCCAATGAGCGATTCGTTTTTCTCATGCCTAAATACCCCCCAATGCAACGTTTCATGCAAATCCACCGATAAACAGCCTAAATATTCCCTTACCGCTCCAGGTCGCCATTTTGACCGCCGCCATTTTGAGAAGGACAGGATGTCCGGAAAATTAATGCCAGAATCGTTTTCCTCGTCCCAAAAAAACCGTCGGGTACCATTTTTCGTCGCAATCCGTCAAAAAAACGGAGATGTCAAATTTCCATTATTTTGAACTTCGATCGGCCGCCATTTTGGCAAAAATTAAGATTTTGACTTGCGGTTTGCGCCAAAAAATTTTGTTTTTTATCCTTTTTTGATTGATGTGTCACAAAAGGGGAGCTGCTATTTGAAAAAAAAAGTTGGGGTCCGCAGCCCCTCCCCACGGGGGGGGCCCCAAAAGTAGCTAACATTGATCGATGAACATCCCCAAAGTTTCGTTTTAAAATATTAATTAGGTAAAATTTTAGAGGGGGGAAGGGACTTTTGGGACACCCTGTATGAACAAATTTCTTTATTGGTTTTCTCAACTTTTTTTTAAATTTGTTTTTGTTCTAGTTTTGGGGCACGCTTTTGTCCAACGCACACTAGAGTATCGACCGTGTTTCATTCGTAATGAGTGGAATCTATAAAAGGGCCACAATAGACTAAATGATTCATTATTGTTTAGAATTTGGTTTATGGGAGATGCTCATTTTTAAATGAGGGTTTCTTATGAAGAAGGCAATTTAGACCAGAGTGTAGTAGAGGGAGTAGCTAACAATCATGAATCTTCACTCAGCTCTACGTGAAAAATGATAAAAGGAGATTTGAAAAAAATCAAGAAGCTGAGTCGTCTGATGAGGAAAACCAACTTTCATTCAATTAACTGAATTAAGGTTTGATTTCACATTTTTTCTGAATACACGATCTAAATTATACTTCTTTTTTTCTTTTTTCCCTCAAAGAAAAAAAATTTTGGAGGGATGAACTGAAGACATTACTTTCAAAACCAAATCATATATGTAATTAGTCACGACTCACGAGTCATCAGTTGTCTAGTTTTTATTAACAGCTCTTCACAAGGTCTTGTTTATTGTTTTAAAGGTATCTAGGAGATCTTTAAAACCACACAAACTGCAATTTGATAGCTAATAATATTTGCTAAGAAAAGACAGGTAATCAGCTTTGTAGACAGCCTCACTGGATGATAGAAATAAAATGAAAATGATAACGCTCTTTTCTGAAGCTTGCGGGAGAGTATTACCTTCTATGTGTTCCTTAATAAATGGATCATCCATGATGTTCCTCCGGTGTTGCTTGATGATACTTTCAAATTCATTGATATCATTATTTTGATAGGAAGAGACTAAATTAGTCATTGCTAGGATTTCAGGATCATTTTTATACGGCTTGGCTTCCTGAGAGTCGAATGGATTGATGCCTGACTTCATTAACCTAAAAATAGAAAAAATGATGGTAAGTATATTATTACACCTCAAGCTAAAGATATAAAAATCTATAAATACATATATGTATGGATAAAATTATTCGTAGCACGACATGATATAAACGATGACACAAAAGTTGGGATAAAAGCTGTAAAAACACACACATATGTATAAAAACCGTACGTTGTGGGCCGAAGCAACTAACCCCCTCCTCAGCGGCTAAAACATCAATTATGCATGTTATACATGCCTGAGCTGAACACTCTCCTCTCTCAGTTTAGTACTGGAACTCAATAGAGTTAAAAAAATTTATTTTTGACTCGAATTATAATTTTTGGAATTTCTTGGCTTTGTTTTCTCTGTGAAATGGTGTGGACCCAGCACCATTTCTCCACCTTGTTATATAAATATATATGTATATATCCTTAGAGGATTTCCTTAAATGCAGTTAATTTAAATTTGCAGTAAATACCTATACCTGTTGAAAAAAATACAAATGGACCACTGGATAGGGTAAAAAACTGAGCACTACAGCATGTTTTCTCATCGAAATTTCAGGCAGAAAACGTTGAATGCATCAAAAACTTTCAAATCAATTCAAAAAAGAAGAATAAACGTTTGTTCTTCACGTAACAAAGTGCATTTCTTGCTTGCAAAATAATCATAATTATCGTGAGCCAAATTAGGCATTGATATCAACCCCTTACATCCAGCGAATTGCTAGAATTTGGTTCCACACACATGTTCCTACTCTTCTAGTACAAGGTATTTTTTATTTTGTCCAGAAGTTAGACCACAGGGAAATTCTTCCATAGTAAAGTATACTGAAACGACTTACTGCTCAATTTGACTCTAGTGGGCCATGGTTTTTCTGCGAGCGGTTTGTGTGAATTAACAATGACAAAAACCGACATTTTCCGACTCATTATTTTTTAGAAAGTTTTGAAGTGTCCAATACATTCTCAATAAAATTTAGATGAGGAAACTTACACTGTGGATTTTAATTTCGTACCCCGTTCAATAGTCCTTCTACAGAGGCGATGCCGCCCCCCCCCCCTCACCCTGCAAATAGCCTGGGCTGCGTCAGGTGACTGCGTTACCTTCAAAAAGGTGCATACTTCCGCCTCGAGTGAACTGGTCCGCCCCTCCCGCAAAAAAGACTGTTTATAGCGGGACGGGGGCTAAAATCACTCTGGGCTTGGACGGTAAGGTTTCCGACGATTGTTTTCCTGAAAGTACATGCAATGCCGAGAATTTTTTCGCCTTGCTCGCCTTTCTGTACTTCTCTGAACCGGGCTTACAATTTTATGAAAACAGGCTCATTTTGAACTTTGCCCCAGGATAACGCGAGAGCAAAAAGTCGTTGCTACCTTCGGTTTGCGCCAAAAAGTTTCTTCATTCATTTTCATTACCTTCCCAACGATGTATTACAAAAGGGGGGTTATCATTTGAAAATTCCGAGATAGTGAGCGCCCCTCGCGGGAGGGGCGCTTTCAAAAAATTTTGGATGTGCCACAAAGTAGCTCTTATTGATCTAGAAGCATTCTCAAAATTTCGTTTTGATATATGCATGCGTTCAAAAGTTAGACAGGGGGTCGGGGACTTTCCGCTCACCCTGTATGTTAGCATTTAGTTGATCAGCCTTATACAAGTGTCACACTCAACAGTGAAATGCCAAGCACATATGAGTTACATATATACATTAAGTTGGTCTGCATTAAACGAGTATTACACTCAAAAGAGTAATGTTAAACATATGCGGGTTAAACGTTGGCATTAAGTTGGTCAGTATTATTTGCTCCTGTTGCAACATTGCAAAGTTTTAAACTTCAAAATTTTGAGTTTGGAGATGACATGATGGCAAGGGCAGGGCCCCTGTCTTAATATATTGATCGGATTTTTAATTTGTTATTCTCCAGTCCGAGGTACTAATTACTTGAAAAGTTCTCATTACCTAATTTTTAGGAGTTTGGGTTGTAGCCGAGTGCTAGAAATAATGCAAAAAATGTTTTCAAAAATCACTTACATTTTATTAATAAATTTGTACTTAAGCTTTTCGAAGCAAACGCCTCATCGTTAGGGTAACAAAATTGATATCACAAAGGCCGCTGCCATACTTTAAATTTCAAGCAAGGTAACAATTGATAACAAGCTATTAGATCAGTCTTAATAATCAAAACAATGTCAATGTAGGTTTAGTGCCTGCTTCTCATCAGAGATGGCAGCACATTTTAGGTACAGGGGATTAGTTGCCATATCTACCTCTTTTTGTACATTTAATAATTCTTCCCCTCTTTTTACTGCCTTAGTTATTTCATATTTTTCTAGGACGCTAAGCATTTTTCTGTCCCTGTTTTTGTGTAGAATTTTAATTTCTTTTATCTGATGATTTTCTGTTTTGATGTGCTTTAATACGTTCGAGGATGGAAGTGTCATGTGTTCATTAACTCTACAGTTGATTGAGATTCAGTTTTTCCGATATATATTTTCTTGCATGAATTAAAATCTAAATGGTAAACGCCAGTTACATTCTTACTATTACCACTATTGCCTTTACCTTCTTTGATTTTTTCGATGACCTTCCTTATATTGTTTAGTACGCTGTTATTAGTCTTAAAAGCTGTTTTGTACTCAGTTTTTTTTAAACAATTGCTAATTTTTGAGCTAACAGGGCCAAAATAATCAATTTTTACACATTTGTCATTATTTTTGGGTTTTTTAGCCTCATTGCTGTTAGCATCAGAGTGCTGTTTTTTATGTCTCCTTAAAATTTTGTTGACAATATATTTAGGGAATCCATTAATTTTAGCAATATTCTGGATAATTCCGATTTCCTCTTGTCTATGTTTGTGGCTAAGTGGAATGGAAAACATACTTATTAGCGGCTGTAGGTTTACGAAATATTTTGAATTGGATGAGGTTATCCTTGTCGACAATTACAGTAAGATCTAAGAAATTAATTTGGTTATTACTCATATGTTCTATGGTGAATTGAATGTGTTTTGAGAGGCTATTTAGGTATTTCGGACATTGCATTACAATGTTCGCTGACTTTGACCTAATTTTTCTTTACAGCCGTTTCAACGTTACCAAGCTTCAAACTTCAAATTACGGATTTGGCGATAAAATGATGGCGTTTCGCACGATATCTTGCAGACTTTTTTCTTTATCCATGAGTAATTTTACATATTGTGTTATAACCCATGTTGTAATACACACATATAAGTCGCTCCTACAACCCACTCTGGCGTTGTGCGACACCCAAACTCCACATGTGCCTATCTTCTCAGAGGTTCTACAGCTACTGACAAATCTCTTTGTCAACACCCTATCGCCAGCCCTTTATGGGACATATCCCTTGGCTTTTTGCAGGTGGTACTCAATCAAAAACTTGTTTTAGCAATCATTTCTCCCTCATTTTTTCCACTTGTCCATACAACACTGACTTAGTACACAACACTTTCGTAATTGTTGTAAAAATTTGTCCTTTCGAAACTGCAAGATCGTCTGGTTGCCATTTTACTGATTTTGTTCTGGACATATGTACCGTATCTGGCTGTAAATTTACATGCTGGTTTTTTCATTCATTTTAGTAGCGTCCGTTTCAAAATAATGATATGCTATCAGTTGGTCCAAATGCACGCGAAAAACTAACTCTAATTTTTCTTTTGATTCGGCGTTACACGAAAACTTCACGGTCAAAAGTGTAAAATTTGGAGGAATGTTACCTCCAGGATTTCTGAAGCACGGGGACATAAATAATAAATAAAAACAAGCAGTGACCTCCAACACAATCTGTCGATGGGGCGCGTCATTAACCCTCACATATGAACCTCATTGGTTTTCATTCACAGAGATTTCAAAATAAGCAAGCGGCACAACAGGAGAATTCACGATCCAACACTACGAGGTCAACGACGCACCTTGACAAGACTGTGTATTGTGAATATAGAAAGCCATTCAAACGAGTTTAAGTTTTTTGATCTGCCTCCACCAAAATCTTATCAGATTCTTGAAGAAAAGTGCTACGGAATAATTTAAAGGAAGTAAGGAAAAATTCTGTCGAAATCCTGAAAGATAAAATCGATTTAAAGGTATTTTGGGGCTAAAATACCCCAATCACCGGTAGTATAAATCCTGTTATATTATTAAAAAGAAATTGACTCGATATAAATGCAATTGCATTAAATATGTCAAGCTAGATTTTGTCAAAGCAGTTCAACCATATCCATACTTTATTCATTCATGAATTGAAAGGAAGCAATCTACATCCCGAAAATCTACCAATTTGCCGAAAAAATCGCAGAGACTTGATATACCAGGTCGATGTACCCACTCCTTGAATTTACGAATCAATTTCGTGAGTGCAAATATGTAAAAGTCAATATGCTAAAGTCATTTTGGGTGCATTTATTTTTCATGAAACAATAATAAGTAATTTCAATCCTGAAAAACCATCAATTTTCCATATAAAATCGAAAAAATCGAAATATGTCGGCTCCCTGACGTGAAAATTAGACTCTACGTGTAAAAATACTTATGGATCGATATGCTGAACAGGAACTTTGTGTGGACACAGTCGGAAGTCCGCGGCAACATCAATTCAACAGAAAAACGGCAAAATTGGATCGGATTTTAGCCACTTTGCCCGCCTCTCCTCAATACTTAGAAACCGTTCCTACTCTCCTCTCAAAATTTTTCTCAGAGCTTTGGGTTATTATCAGCTTCCATTTAAACCCCGGTTCGGTGGCCGAATCGGCTCCCAAAAAGCAAGCCATTTTTGAAGGGTTCTATGAGAAATTCGTGATATTATCGGCTCTCAAGAAATCACCCCATGGCTAAAATTGGTGGTATAAATGTTTGAGTGCTTAAAATAACTGTATTCAAGAAACTAAGGCATTAAACTATGGATTCAATTTCTTTTTAATAATATAACGGGATTTATTACCGGTGATTTAGTTATTAAAGCCCCAGAATACTTTTAAAGCGCCTTTATTTTCCAGAATTTCGACGGATTTTTTTTTTTTTTTTTTTTCTTAAACGACTCAAGAGACACTGTAGTTAAAAATATAAAAAAATTTCTATTTGGACGTATGAAAAATGTTTACTCGTTCAAGCACACTGTGTATCGTTTGGAGTATTGCTGCTATTCGACCATTGTCTTCAGGTCAAAATTCTTACAAGGAAGCCTCTTGCAAGATGCGAATTTTCTGTAATTTCTCCCAATTTTTTCTCCATTATATAATTGAATTGCTTATCAAATTCCGAGGTCAATTACAAATATATTTAATTGTAATTTATACATTTCTTTTTTTCCCCTTCATTTCATTTTCTGTATGGAGAAGTTTTGTTGATTTCTTCAGATTTCGAATTCTGTAACTTCTCTTCTATTTGGCCGATTTTTATGAATGAGGCCTCTTTTCATTCGTGTATTAATGGAGAGTAAGGAAAAAAGTGCTAAATACACGCGCAACAATTTTGTTTTATTTAATTGGATGAATCCTAGCGTGACTGTGAAATGGTTAATCAAGCGTAAGTAATAGGGTGAGGGTCTCGGCGCGGCGGCCGCCGGGGCATTGTTCCTCTCGAGAAGTCGACGCAGTGGTCAGGCGCGTGGGGGAGAGAGGGGTAAGAGGATTACTATACGTGCAAGTAGCTTCCTGTATGAGCCGCGTTTAGCAAATGGTCTAATAAGTCTCGAGGCTCATCACAGATTGCACTTACGGCTGCTCTGGCTGGCCCTGGCTATCACAACAGTGGTACCAAAGAAAAGCATAACAGGGCCGTAGAGATCTGTCGAAACAACGTTTTAAACAAAACGGAGGAGTGAAATTCTCATTCAATGATTGCTGAACTGCTCAGCCATCCTTGAATCAGTTCGTTTGCTTTTCTTGTATATGCATATTTTAAATTAGCGCGGAGCAGTCTTCAGCAGTCAACTTCCATTTAAACTCCGTTCAGGAGCACCGTGTTGGGGTCATTCCATGCCAACTGGCGCCACTTTGAAAAAGTGACCCCCTCAGAACTTCATGAAATTTAGCATACTTTGTGTGCATACACAGCTTTGTAAAAATCCAAGACTTTAAGTTGATTTGACCACCCAATGGGCTTTTAATAGGCACTGAAAGTTGGCCGTTTTTGAGGGATGCTACCACTTTACTGATTTGTAACTTCGGAGCGGCTCATGCAAAATCAACGGTTCTGGTGTCGTTAAAAGGCCCTGATTAAGAGTTTTTCAGACATGTCTAACAAAATTGGGCTAAACTCAAAATTTTTTCTAGCGCAAGTTTTAATTCTCAGAACGATGTAACACGAAATTGCAGCTTCCGATTTCTTTGAAAATTTCGAGACGTTTAGGACACCTTCGACTACGCGTGTGCAAAATTTCAGAAAGGAGACTCATTGGAGTCAAAAGTTACAGAAAGAAAAGGTCGGATATGCGAAACTGTGCCGTGGCTTACGCAGTCTTCAATCCCGAATTCCAGGAATGTTACTCGAACTCGGGCCGAGACAGCTGATCGCGCAATACAAATCTAGTATGCCCGTGTTACGACCCCAGTTTGGAGACTATTCCCGGGACTCGGGACTGGAGACTGCATAAGCCGCTGCACAGTTCCGCATCTCCGAACTTTCTCTCCTGTAAATTTTGACTCCACCAAGTCTACAGTCAGAAATTCTGCATACGCATAATGGAAGGTGTCGTAATTATCTCGTAAAATTTTCCAAGAAATCAAAAGGTCCAATTTAGAGTTATATCATATTGAAAATTAAAATTTGCACTAGAAAAAATTTTGAGTGAAGCTCAATTTTGTAAGACATGTCTAAAAAGCATTTTCTCAGGGCTTCTTTACGACACTAGAGTGGCTTCTTTTCCTAAATGGGAGCGCTGGCGGGGGGGGGGGGGGGNGGGGGGGGGGGGGGGGTGGAAGTCAAAACCTGTGGACCTCAATATCTCTCGAACTAAAAAAGGTATCGAAGTCAGGTTTGGACGAAAAATCGTCTAGAATTGCATACTTCAAGAATCTAAAGGTCAAAATCCCGAAATCACATTTTCATGTGAACAAATCTGCTTTTTTCAGTTTTTGAGTCAAGAAAATTTTTTTTCAACAAAGGATACACAAAGTACTCAATTTTATATGTGAACCAAAACCAGTGTTGTAAATTGTTCGTCTTTTTTGCATCCAACGAGTCCAAAGGGTTCAAAAGTTATGGACGATTGAGGTCTCCGCTCTACGCGAGCCGACCGATTTTCGCGCGCCAAACTATGGTTCCAAGGCCGGATTTGGGGGATAATGAATCAGATTAAATGTTCAAACCATGCAAAATGCATTTTTAGGGATTCTTGAGGGTCGCTGAGTTTAGAAATTACAGATATCTCCAAAAAATTAACTTCTTTAGAATTGCAGCTTCGGAACACTTTTTCAAAGGCCCACGGAGCGTTGACCGGCCGGCCATTCAGTGGGCCTCTAAAGATGCGCTGCGGAAAAAGGTGAATTTTTTTGAAGTGTCTGTAATTTCTGAACTCACCAATCCTCAAGAATCCCTAAAAATATATTTTGCACGGTTTGAACATTTAATCTGATTCATTAACACCTAAATCTGACTTTGGAACCATAGTTTGGCGCGCGAAAATCAGTCGGCTCGCGTAGAGTGGAAACCTCAATCGTCCATAACTCTTGAACCCTTTGGTTCCCCAGCTTAATAGACCACTCGTTGGATACAAAGAAGACGAAAAATTTAAAACACTGCTTTTGGTTCAAATAAAAAATTGAGTACTTTGTGTATCCTTTGTTTAAAAGAAATTTTTTTGACTCAAAAACTGAAAAAAACAGATATGTTAACTTCAAAATGTGAGATCGGGATTTTGACTTTTAGATTCTTTAGGTATGTAATTTTAAACGATTTTTCGTCCATACCGGTCCTCGATATCTTTCTTCATTCGAGAGATATCGAAGTTTACAGGTTTTGACTTCAAACCCCTTCCCCCCCAACCCCCCCAAAAAAAAATTTTTTGGGGTCTGAAAATTTAGGAAAAGAAGCGCACAAGTATGACTTATCAGTAGACAAAGTTTGAGGAAATTTCAGGGGGGGGGGGCGAAAAAAGCCGTTTTTACATCAAGCTCTTTCATGAAATTCTTAGGGGGTCACATTTTCACAGTGGCACCGGTTGACATGGAATGACTCGTTGGAGTTCGTTGCCCACCCACAGGGGCTCCTCCCAAACATTTTAGAAGACCAAAAGGTAGCTCCCTTTGACCTAGGAAAGTACCCCAAGTTTCAAATCTTCACATCAATTAGATAAAAAGTTAGAGGGGGTAGAAGGGACTCCTAGATGACCATGTATGCTTGCACAGTAGTAAATAGGGCAAAGGATGTACAACATGTTACAGGGCCACGGCATGGAATGTATGCGAGAGATTTGATGGGGATTTCTGATTGTCCATCAAAAATATTGACATGATGGATGAATAAGTTGTTACCAGTTTGGTAGCTCATATGAGTGGCCATGACAGGTTCATTTAAGACGCCGACGCAAAGAAAAGTTGGAGACTTGAAATTTGTTTGATACTTACATATTGGCTAAAACAAGGTATTTCAAGCATGTTGTCCTTCTAGGACTTCCAGATTCATCATAATTTTTAAAGGCTTCAAAGAAATCAGTATGGGCTTTTTCAAACTCACCCTCTCTTAAGTGCATTTTACCACCACATTCTGAAAAAGAAATGCGATATTGTTGACAATTCTCATGCAGTCAAGTGAAGATTAAGTCCTTGAATTCAGTGCTGTCTCATCTCCAAAACTCTGTGTTCATGATCAGAACACTATCCAATAGAGCGGAGTGGTACAGCATTTTTTTTTGAACCCCGATCACAGGTAGTGAAAAAAAGTTGCCTCCTGACACCAAATGGACGAGGGAAAAATCCTGGCTCTATAGGATAACACTTTCATCGAAAACGTGGGGCTCGAATTCTCATAATCTCAACTTTTCGTTTTTACAGTGTTTTTTTTTCTAAGATAATTTATAGATGATTGAAAAGAAACACCTGATACGCATAATACATGATTTTGTAGATAATTTGAGTCAGAGAATCAATTTTTGTGATCGAAGAATCGATATGCTGACACACTCGTCAAAATCAGACCATAGGTGATGCATTGTCTGAGTGAACGCAATTTCTTAGCTAGTCACACTCTCCCTACTCTAATTTTATCTTTTTTCCTGATAGTTTCTCTCTTTTGTACTCTATCAATAAAATTTCATATTTTCCTTGTTACGTATGTCGAATAATAAGTGCAGCAAAGAGCCTCCCAAAAAGTGGTCCCTTTTTTGAAACCCAGGGATTTCATTTGTAGATGGCCTAAATGAAACCTTATGATGAGGAAAGCCTCCGGTAAAAATTTTAGCTGGAGTACATGTCTAGTTTCCCAGATACAGCGTTGCAAAATTTGCACACTTGGGTCTTAAAAATTTTCATATTTTTATCAGGGTGTCTACCAGTTATAAAAAACCAAAATTTGGGACTTTAAGGGGTGTTTTTCTAAAGAAAATCGGGGACTTTTTCCCCCGAAATAGTAAGAGAAATGGAGCTAGTTAGAGCGTTGAAAGGCATGTATATTTTATACGACTAATTTTACAAGTCATGCTGAACTGATGAACGCATATGAAAAACCAAGCAACATTTCAGTTTTTTTATTCCTGGTCATACCGCGCCACCACGGGTGGCCAGAAAATTTGAAATGCCGGTGTTTAGGATGATTTTTGTCATTTGTTGGGGGATCAGAACAAGAAAATTGGGGACTTTCCGGGATATCAGGGACACCCTTCCAAAATCGGGGATAACCGGGGACATAGGGGACTTTTGGGGACTGGTAGACACCCTGTTTATGGATTTCTTTCAATAAACCAACTTCAAGGAACTTTACAATACTAACACACAGCGAAATTAAAAAACTATGATGTAAAAAGTCTCCATCAAAAGTTTTGACTCATGGATAAGGGTAATGTAGCATCGCGTCCATGATATTGGACTCCATGCTCAGCTATGTATGTTCGGTTGCTCATCACGTCCAAGATCTTGGACTCCATACTCACTTTAACTACGGATAATTTTTTCGAAAAATCGAAGTGAGTATAGCGTCCAAAATTATAGGATGCAGGTATTCTCGGACAATACACGAGCATAGGGTCCAAGAATGTATTAGGACAATTTTTGTGAAATAAAGGCGAAAAAATATGTCCTCGAAAAAAATTGTGATTGCTTGGGTTAGGTTAGGTTAGGTAAGGTTAGGTTAGGTTAAGTTAGTTAAAGTTAGATTAGATAAGCGAAGTATACGATGTTCTATTATGAGGAACTTTAAAACCAAGGGAGGTTTGCTTGATTTTGGACTCCATGCTCAAGCAAAGAAGTGAGAAGTTTAGCGATGAGCATGGAGTCCAAGATCTTGAACGAGATGAACAGGCACGTATATCAAGGGTGGGCATGGAGTCCAATATCTTGGACGCGATGCTACATAATCTGGATAAGCCTTGTCTTAGCAGTACAACGTTGCAAAGTTTACATTTTTGAGCTTTAATAATACTCATTTGTTAAAGTTTCTTTTTCACAAACTGATTTCCATGAAATACTGTGTTTTAGGGCATTAAATCAACAATTAACGATATTTGTGGATGCACAGTATCATTTATATCAGGATACAATAATACAGTGCTGCAAAGTTTACATCTTTAATCTATAAAAATGTCTATTTTCTGCTGTTTTTTTCACTGGAGACAAGATAGAAAAAGTGTCGATGGTTCATATGTGAGGCAAAATAAGGGGTACTTTTGTTAATCCTAAGGCGACATTTGGTATTAAAAACTACACTGTTGCCAATTTCATTTAGTTTTCTTTTAACATTCGATCATAAAGTGAGTTTAAGTTTAAAATACGGATATTTCCAATAATTACCTAATTTCAAAATGTAATCCAAGTGAATTTATGGAGTACAACGGATGACTCAGCATCAGCGTTGCTTTCAAAATCAAAAACTTCTGCTTGCCTTATTTGACTTTCTTGCCAATTTAACTTTTTATTAGGTAGAATGAAAAAACAAATGTTGCGAATGGAAACCTTCAAGTTCTCTCAGTAGAAATAAATCTTAATTTAGACCATACATACATTGTGCCTTGGAGAACGAATTATGTTGAACGTTAACAATAAATCTTAATGAAATTAAATACATTTAAAAACGATTAAATAAATTAAAGAATAAAAAAATTATTTAAAAAATAAACAAAATTATTAAAGGATTGCAATCTTCTCAGGCGATTTTTGCAAAAACGGTGCATCGTGGAGAGTTGACGCACGATAACTTTTGATCAGCATCATTAGGAGAATCGAATGCAATAAAAAAATTAAAAATCCATCGTGGTGCACTTTTCCATAAGAGGTGTGCGAAATTCTTCACGAAAAAATCTATTTTTTAGACAAAGTATCAAAAATAATCGATATTTAAATTCGATATATCGATTTTACGACCACAAAAATCGATTCTCTGTCTCAAATTATCCACTAAATCATATATGGTGCATATCAGCTGTGTCTTTTCAATCATCTTTAAATTATCTTGGAAAAAAACCGTGGTAAAAATTAAATTTTGAGATCATGAGACTTTGAGCCTTATGTTTTCGATGAAAGCGTTATCTTATATAGAGCCAGGATTTTTTCCTTGTCTATTGAATGCCAAGAGGCAACTTTTTGCACTACTTGTCATTGGAAATCGAAAAAAATATATTGTCCCTCCACCCTACTATCCAATTCTTTCTTTCTTTTAGGTCAGTAAACTAAGGGGATGAACTTTGAGGAAAGTTACTTCTATTATTTTTATTCTTTCTTTCAAATTTGGACTCATACAATTTTGTATCTTTTGACACATATTATGGAATTGGGATATTTTGCATGCTCTTAAAAATTAGTCTTCAAAACATCCCTACCTTTTGTCACAGATGAGCTCCTTCACTCAAAGAATTTCTCGGGAGAAGACATCAACGACAACAAGGACAGATAACGGAAATATTGGTTCATGATCTCTGAGGGAATATCGCATGAGGTGAGGGAGTATACCTATGGCCAAGTACGAGAATTTTAGCAATTTAAGGGGCCTAAAATCGAGTTTCTCACAGTTTTTGTCTTAGAAAATTTTCTACAAGGTGAATATTTTCTCTGATCGCCAGAAATTAATGAAAGCAGACTTTTGCTACAAATGCTACTTTTATACAACTTGTTAGCTCCAGGCGGTACTGAATGGTTTTATTTTTTCCGGTTATCTTTATCAATCAATATTTCAGTAGAAGAAATAAACAGACTAACCTCTTATGACTCCCATGATAAGAGGATGCGGAATAGCCGATTTGATGTGGAGTGACTGTTCATAAAGGGCTTTCAGCTTTTTATTATTTTTCTGTGCAGTATACATCTGAATTTCTAGGGCATATATTTCCAACAACTGTGTTCCTTTTTTTAAATCGTCTTCACCGTCGTCCGTCTGGAAAAATTAAAAGTAAGAGATCATTGAAAACACAGTCATCATGGAAATTGATTTTGCATATCAAATAAAAAAAAAAAATCTGTCCACATTAGCCGGTTAACATCAACATTATCTTGGAAAAAAATCCATCACAGACATTATCAACTGGTCCAGTCTGACGTCATTATTGGACTCAACTTAGTCCAACTGATGCCTAACTGGCATTGTTAATTGAATCGGCTCATGCTAAAACCGCTGATGTCCATTTTCTCTTATGTAGAGTAAACTGCAAAAAACTGTAGAAGCCTTTTAAAAAATGTTCAGAAGTTGATTATTACAAGAATGGATTGTAGAAAAGGATCCCTGATAACAGTTTCCAGCTCCTCTTCTGTCTGGGATGGAATAATTAAAAAGAAAGGACTCTGGACATTAGTGGTTTTCGCATGATTCGTAAAAATCGCCAAGTTTTGGAGCCGTTTGATGTTTTCAAAATTCATTCTAAAGATGTTAAAGCAGTAGATGATCATTTACATAAAGTTAAAAAAATAAAATTCCGAACAATTACGGTACATAGAATCAGTTTCATCACAAACTCCCAGCAATAACCTGGACATTAGCGGTTTTCGCATGATTTGTGCGTGGACGGTTCTAAAACATCGAAAACGCATATTTTTCAGTATGCCTTTCGGGCAATATAAGGATAACACTGCGTATTTTGAGGCGCTGAATCCGAATATGACCTCCGTTTTTTTCCATCACCCTCAAATTTTCCGGAAAAGCCGATTTTACTCGGAAAAATAACCATTTTTTAGCATTTTCAGTGTTTTTCCGACTGTTATCCCCTGCAGAATGTAGATAAAATTTTTCGTAGCTACGGGATTCAATTATGCCAATAACCTGACTGATGAGTCCGGAAATGACCTTAATTTTTACCGTTCACCTCTCAATTTTCCGGGAAAGCAACATTTTCTCGGGAAAATGAGCAAATCCGACGTATATTTGTCGTGCATGCAATTTATTTTTATAAATTTTCCTGGACCCGTGGTAGTATGTTACTAATTTATTTTGAGCTGCTAAATCCGAATATGACCTCGGTATTTTTCTATCACACTTCAGATTTCCGGTAAAGCCGAGTTTTCCGAGCCTAAAATAGTTTATTGTAAAAGCTTTGTCCGATCGAAGTGTACCCATTCAAAATTCATTGTATAAATGTCTCCGATATGTGATACATCGATTCCATTGTATTTTGATCTGTTAAATTCAAATATGATCTCAGATTCTTCCGATCACCCATTATTTTTCCGGAAATGTCGTTTTTTCTAAGAAAACGCTTTTTTAAGATATTTTTGTGATGATTTTTCTGTTCTAAGGAGTTTCAGAAATTCTCCAGTGGGTGATAACGAATTTCTAAGGTCATATTCGGGTTTTTCAGCTCAAATTGCATGAGAATCGATGTATCACACAAGCAGAAAATGTTTTGAATTTCCCTGGATGTGGGAATACAGTCCGGAAAAGCTTTTGGCCCGGAAAAATCAGACCTACAAAACGAGGGGGTTGTCAAAGATGAGTGAAGGTCAAATTCGAGTTCAGTGCCTCTTAATACAGCAAGAGAAACCTGAAGAGGATCTCAGAAAATTTCTGAAACTCCTTAGAACAGAAAAATCATCGCAAAAATATCTGACGAGAGCGTTTTCTTAGGAATAGCGACTTTACCGGAAAAATGATGGGTGATCGAAAAAATCTGAGATCATATTTGAATTCAACAGATCAAAATAAAATGGAATCTATGTATCACATATCGGAGACATTTATACAATTGGCATAATTGAATCTCGTAGCTACGAAACATTTTACCTACATTCTGCAGGGGATAACAGTCGGAAAAACACCGAAAATGCCCAAAAATGGTCATTTATCCAAGTAAAATCGGCTTTTCCGGAAAATTGGAGGGTGATGGCAAAAAACGGAGGTCATAATCGGATTTAGCGCCTTAAAATGCATAAAGATCACCTGTTGTCGTCCAGGAGACCTTTTGGCGCGTATACGTACTATACCGCCTTTGCGATCGTTTCCACCGCCCACTCGATACAATAACCGAGTCCCTTAGTTCCTTACCGAAAAGTGACTGCCACGAACTTCTGAGATTTTCCAAAGCGTGTAAAAAAATTACTAATCCGTCAATAATTATGATTTAAAGTTTGTTGTCATTCTGGGGCTTTCTAGTTTATGTGCAATGAATACCAAGAGTCTACGTTACTTGATTTTTTTAAAAACAACCTAAGATTGCGCCGCGCTGATTTGAAATATGCATATATAAGCAGAAGCAAACGAACTGATTCGAGGATGGCTGAGCAGTTCAGCACTCTTCGAATGAGAATTTCACTCCTCCGTTGTGTTCAAAACGTTGCTTTGACAGAACTCCACACCCCTGTTAAGCTTTTCAAAATTTGGTACTACTGCTCTGATAGCCAGGGCCAGCCGTAAATGGAATCTGTGATGAACCTTAAGACTCTTTAGACCATTTTCTAAACGTGAATCATACAGGAATCCACATTCCCCTCTCTTCCCCACGCTCCTGATCACTGCGTCGGCATCTCAAGGAACAATGGTCGTGGGCCGCCTTGCCGATAACTAACGCTTGATTAACCATTTCACCATCACAATAGGATTCATCCAATTAAAAAAAAAATTGTTGCGCGTGTATTTAGCACTTTTTTCCTTACTCTCTATTGAACACGCATAAAAAGAGGCCTCATTCATAAAAATCGGCCCAATAGGAGAGAAGTTACAGAATTCGAAATCCGAGGAAATCAACAAAACTTCTTTATGCAGAAAATAAAATGAAGGGGGGAAAAAGAAATGTATAAATTACAATCAAACATAATTGACCTCAGAATTAGACAAGCAATTCAATTATATAACGGAGTAAAAATTGGGAGAAATTACAAAAAATTCGCATCTTGCAAGAGGCTTCCTTGTAAGAATTTTGACCTGAAGACAATGGTCGAATAGCAGCAGCACTCCATACGATACACGGTGTGCCTGAACGAGTAAACATTTTTCATACGTCCAAATAGAAATTTTTTTATATTTTTAACTACAGTGTCTCTTGAGTCGTTTAAGCAAAAAAAAAAAAAAAAAAAAATCCGTCGAAATTCTGGAAAATAAAGGCGCTTTAAAAGTATTCTGGGGCTATAATAACTAAATCACCGGTAATAAATCCCGTTATATTATTAAAAAGAAATTGAATCCATAGTTTAATGCCTTAGTTTCTTGAATACAGTTATTTTAAGCACTCAAACATTTATACCACCAATTTTAGCCGTGGGGTGATTTCTTGAGAGCCGATAGTATCACGAATTTCTCATAGGACCCTTCAAAAATGGCTTGCTTTTTGGGAGCCGATTCGGCCACCGAACCGGGGTTTAAATGGAAGCTGATAATAACCCAAAGCTCTGAGAAAAATTTTGAGAGGAGAGTAGGAACGGTTTCTAAGTATTGAGGAGAGGCGGGCAAAGTGGCTAAAATCCGATCCAATTTTGCCGTTTTTCTGTTGAATTGATGTTGCCGCGGACTTCCGACTGTGTCCACACAAAGTTCCTGTTCAGCATATCGATCCATAAGTATTTTTACACGTAGAGTCTAATTTTCACGTCAGGGAGCCGACATATTTCGATTTTTTCGATTTTATATGGAAAATTGATGGTTTTTCAGGATTGAAATTACTTATTATTGTTTCATGAAAAATAAATGCACCCAAAATGACTATAGCATATTGACTTTTACATATTTGCACTCACGAAATTGATTCGTAAATTCAAGGAGTGGGTACATCGACCTGGTATATCAAGTCTCTGCGATTTTTTCGGCAAATCGGTAGATTTTCGGGATGTAGATTGCTTCCTTTCAATTCATGAATGAATGAAGCATGGACATGGTTGAACTTCCTTACACAGAAAGACGTTTAAAATAATAAAATCAAGAAGTATTTACGGCAATTGCATTTTTTTCGAGTCAATTTCTTTTCAATAATATAACAGGATTTATACTACCAGTGATTGGGGTATTTTAGCCCCAAAATACCTTTAAATCGATTTTATCTTTCAGGTTTTCGACAGAATTTTTCCTTTCTTCGCTGAAATTATTCCGTAGCACTTTTCTTCAAGAATCTGATGAGATTTTGGTGGAGGCAGATCAAAAAACTTAAACTCTTTCGAATGGCTAGGCTTTACATTCACGATACATGGTCTCGTCAAGGTGCGTCGTTGACCTTGCAGTGTTGAATCGTGAATTCTCTTGTTGTGCTGCTTGCCTATTTTGAAATCTCTGAAAATGAGAACTAAAGGGGTTGATATGTGCGAGTTAATGACGCGCCTTATCAACACACTGTGTTGGAGTTCACTGCTTGTTTTTATTTCGGTTTGTTGTACAGTATAATGAGGCATATAATGAAAGATGGACATTAGCGGTTTCCGCATGATTCGGACAACAGCCCCCCCTGAAAAGGGCTTCAAACCTACGGAACAAACATTATCACTAGATTAATGAGTGCGTCTGACCTCCGAGAGTATTTTAACCCAAAAATCTCAAAATTGAAAAAATGGACATTAGCGGTTTTCGCACGAGCCGATTCAATTGCGGTGTCACCAGAAATTACTTCAGATGCAACACCTTCAAATGAAGCAGTCCGTACTTCAGATGCAACGCCTTCATATGAAGGACACTTTTCTTTTGAGTGATTTCCCGAAATGTCAAAATAGAAACGAGTTTATGCCCTGTGCCCTTGGTCAAAAGATGCAAAAAGTTTTGGAAAATCGAAAACTTTCAGGAGACAATCTCATTGTACAAGCAAACAAGATGAAAGCGCTCCCTAACAAGGAATTTTTTCCCTCAATCGCAGGAGCAACGGAGAGAGTGCAAATTCTTGCATTTGACGAGTCAAGAGTGGATCCTTGGAACATCCTTTTCCTGATTACAGCTGTCAAGGATGACAAATGTTATACTCTTGGTTATATATACGGCACACTTCCTTAGGCCCACAAAGGGAATCGGCTCACTGTTTGCCTGGTTAAGCTGATATCGCCCAATGAAGTTTCGACAGAAATAAAAAATCTCAAACACATCGGCACTCAGCTGTCAGTATCAGGTGGTCAAGGCATGTTCAAGAGCTCATGTGAAACTCTCATGTAAAACTCTTTGTAAAATAAAGAGATGTAAATGTAAAGCTACCAGAGTGCTATGTAACAGCAGATGCCACAATAGCAGAACCTGCACAAACAAATAACCTTTTCAAATAACTGAGTCCCTTGAATGTTGATCTCATTTTCATAATTTGATCTGCATTCTTCAAAGTCACGTTCTCCGTAAATATAAGCCATGTTTAGGCACTTGGCGATCACCTCTCGTTATAAGTATGACTTTCTTGTTTACATCTCTTAGAATTTTGACATTATCCAGCTTCTAAAACTGTGTTTGACATTATCCAGCTGCCAAAACAGTGTTTGACATTATCCAGCTTCCAAAACTGTGTTTGACATTATCCAGCTTTCGAAACTGTGTTTGACATTATCCAGTAAGGCTTGGCAGGGGTCGACAATAGCCACCTCGGATAATACTATGGTAAACGAAGGCATAGAGGGCCTGTTTCCGGCCAGAAACGAGCATACGGCTGAAACTAGGCCCAATCGATTCTACATATGAAAAGGTGTTATTAGCCAAAAGTCCCCATAAATCCCCTCGGGATTCCACACAGTGGTCCAATAAAGTAGAAAATTGGACATATTTTAAAAAAATCACTGCAAGGCAAGAAATAAACTTAGGGGAATCAATTTTTTTTTAAAATGTAGGTAATTGAGTCTACTTTTCTAAGAATCTATAGTTCTGAATGTCTAAGTAAGTTGAACATGAATAAAAATGGAAAAAATTGAAAATTGAGAATATTTGATCGGCATTTTCTATATTTACGTCCATATAAAGGTCCAGATCGAAAAGTACCCTCTTGTATAAGTTGTAGATCCTTCTTTTAGCGTTGATTTGGTACATTACATTATGGTTATCTTCAAAATTGAAGGAGCAAGAGGGCAAAAACGAAGCAGATCGGCGCCTGGCCTCCTGTGTTTCGAATCGCAAAATGGCGATTTTGAGTAGCACATCATGGCAATGATGGTCTATTCAGCTGTGCCCGTCTACTGAAGGCCCAAATGAACACTTTCCATCTTTAAATCTCTTTTCTAAAGCGCCATGGTTGCCAGCTCTCACTCCATTTTTACTTTCTCGCTCCCATAGGGTAGAGAGGAAGTATTGTCATCCTCCAAGAAAAGAAAGAAAGTTGAAATTTCATCATTTCTAGACGTTTTAAGGTCCCAGGAGTCAAAATAACCATACATGAAAAAATGTGTGTCCGTCCGTCAGATGTCCCCCAAATCTGTCTACAGCGATATCTCAGAATCTATCTGTTCCATTTCATTCAAAATTGGCACAGAACACCATATCTATGGTCTTCTTATGCACGTCACACGATTTTGGGGTACGCTAAAATTTGGGGGGGCTAGGGTCAAATTGGGTTAAAGGTCCATTTTCAGCAAAATCACACGGAAAGCTCATTTTGAGGGACTGTAAATTTTGAAAAATGCCTTTTAATTCTTTAAAAGTGGGCATCAAGCACATCACCCGGGTCATTAATTTAAGTTCCTAAAAGATCTTTGGACTAAACTCAAAATTCAAGGGATTACGAGGCCCAAAAGTAGGGCACTTTGCTCCGCGACATCACAAATAGCTCATTTTCAGGGACTGCAAATTTTAGAAAAAATGCCTTTAATTCTTCGAAAGTTAGCATAAGAGCACCACCTGGTTCATTGATTTATGTTCCTAAGAGGTCTATGGACTAAACTAAAAATTGAAGGGTAACGCGTCATATAGCGAGGAGAGCACTTCGGTCACACGGAGAGCTCATGGACGGTAGATTTTGAAAAAATGCCTTTAATTCTTTGAAAGTTGGCTCAAAAGCACCACTTGAGTCATTAATTTTAGTTCCTAAAGGATCTTTGGACTAATCTCATAATCACAGAGGGGCCGATAAGAAACGCTCAATTCTCTGATAAATGAGTCGGAACGCTTCAGGATATTAGCAGCAAACGCTTTTAGTCAGGGGAAACCTAGGAATTCAAATGCATTATATAATGCATCATATACTATCTGCAAAATTACTCCGTAGGTATACACCAAGCAAAATTAGACAACTAATGAGGTACTTACATTACATACAAATCATCGAAGCTAACGCAAGAACTGACACTTAGATCTTTATTAGTAACTAATATAATATGTTTGTTGTTAATGAATTTAGAATCCCGGCGGATTCCATCTTTCGCGGTTTCTTTTTACGAGGTACTGAACACAAATATAACATAATAATACGGCACAAACATGATGGATTTAATGAATAATGATTACACAATGCGAACTTGTTTACATATCATTGCACTGAGGTTTATCACGGACTGTTTGTGTTGTTGATGTTTCGACTTCGACAAGGAGGTGGCGCTCTGGGCGGGCGGGTGGTGAACTATCAGCGGAGACATTTTGACCGCCAAATTTAAAATTTGGGCGATGCTAAGCGGAAACCGTTTAGTTTAAGACTATTTAAACATCGAATAGTCATTCTACCCATTAAAGTAGATTTTTGATGGCATTTGACCGTGCTTAAGGTAAGATTATAATATATAATCGTACCTGAAGTATGATGTCAATGAATCTAATGGAACCTAATGAATCGTAGAAAAGCTAAGATTTTTACGGATTGCCGTCTTTAATAGGAGGCATCATTAATCAATTACATATTTAATTGAAGATGCCTCATAATATCGACAAGTCGAGTCCGAATAAATGAATTCATCACATATCACGAAGACAATTACAATAAAGTTCAGTGGTTTTAATAAAAATTTCATAACTATTATCCTGCGATCAAATTTCCAATCAAACTTTATGATTTTGTGAAATTGGCAGTATTATTCTAAATATTCCAGTAAAATTGCCCATGCCGGCGTGGAGCGCCGGCAAAAGCGAGAAAGTGTTGTGCGATCCTCGCACCATGATGGGGGGCTTGCGCCGCGCATAAATTTTTTACTATTTACTACTTTGTTCTGGCGGCCATTCAAGTAATACATCAAGCTTTTTGGACGACTTCTTCAACTTCCAACCCTTGTAAAACACCAGAGAAACAACGAATCGACCCCTGTTTGAATCAAGTAACTGCCCTGATCTCACTCCACCCCCCCCCCGCCCCATTTTCGGAAAATAACAGCACTAGCCGTTTGAGTAACAGCTCCAGTAAAACAATAGCGAGACAGTGTTAATATAAACAGATTTCCGTTCGAGGCACAAGTAAATAAGTCAGATTGGTGATTGGAACTGAAATTCTCTTCAAAGAGGGAACGTCAAAAATGTGAAAATCACGCTCAAATTACTACAAAAGTGACGTACCCAAGAACTTTCATTAGTGGCTTGAAGATTAAGTGACTGCAAAATTGCAATCATGCAGGCAAATATTACTTTAAGAATCAATGCGCAGAGGATTGCATGCTTTTCAGATTTCATTAAAAAATATGCGTAGTATAAAAGAAAAAATTCAGAGCCTTCTTACAGAATGTCCCCACTTTTTCAGTACTTCTGAACTAGTAGACACTCTGCTAATCATGGTAGAGCTGATAACCATTTACACCTACAGCAGTGGGATTTACCTGACAGGATTGGTGAAGTTGTTTCAATATTTTGGCTAATTTATTAAAATCGGACTGGTCAAAATAGAGTTTTCCAAGTTTTGTATTTGTCTTAAACCACAATCTATCATTCTTAGCATCCTTCAAAGCTTCTAGAGTAGTTTCATAAAAATCTTGAAGTAACTCCATCTGCAACAGTACAAACAATTCGTTAACGATAAAATAAAATAAGTTTGACAAAAGTAAGTTTTTCAGTCTCAGACATGAGCTCTCGGAGAAATGAATGTGTTGGTCCACCGTATGGCAGAGTTCCCACAGAATTAAGTGATTTCTCCGTCACATTTAGGTAAAATTCCCTAATGATTGGAGATAAAAAGTCATAAGTTTAAATGATTTTTCTGCAAAATTTGTTGTTCGAAAGGTCAAACCTATTCAAGAAAGCAAATAAAGGCGACTTGAAAATTTTTCCTAGATTTTTTCGTCCTTTCTCCTGACATTTACCGGTATTTCCTGACTGCATCCCTCAAATAAGGACTCTAGGGTGTTCTGTTTGGAGGCGACTGTCTTAAAACCTTGCTCCTTGGGCTTTTTCCCATTCCTTTTGGTCCCCAGAGGATAATTTTGAAGTTCCAGCACCATAGCTGAAGTCTATTCTTTCTCCAAACACAATGAGAATTTCGGAGTAAATTACATTGGTTTAAATAGGGAGAAATTGAGCTATTCCGCAGAACCGCGTTTCTTAGGTGTATAATGCGCGCAAATGATTTCAACCCCGACCATCTCTTGGGAAGACACTCAAAGGCCCATTTTTAACAAGAGGATTTCACTTTTGATCCAGGGATGGGGGTAGGGTGGGAGGTCACCTTGCAGTTAGTTTTGAGAAGTATTTTCGACCATTTGCACTGTTGCCAATTTCACTCTAGCTTGGAGGGAAATTAGTGTGAATGTTATTCTGTACTTAGTGATTTTGGCAACAATGTAAATGATCGAAAATAGTTCTGAAGGGATAAAAACAAATATTGTACATTATATTTTGACAAGTTGAGAGATAAAGTAGCCTCCTAAACTCGGAAGACCTGTTTTGAGGTTGATAAAAAACTTTCAAATGCGATAATTTTGCTCAAACTCGCGCCTCAGAACCCTGGGTCAAAAGTGAAATTTCCTTGTTCAAAATAGACTTCTGGGTGTCTCCCTAAGGGATGGTCAGGGTTCAAATCATTTGGGTGCATTTTATAGCGAAAATACGCTGTTCTGCGAATTGTCTAAATTACTCCCCATTTAAACAAAGGTAATTTCTTCAAAAATTCTCATCCCTTTGGGGGAAAGTAAAGACTTCAGTTATGGTGCTGGAACTTTAGAATTATCTCTTGGGGACCAAAAGAAATGGGGGTCATTCCACGTCAACTCAACCAGGCTCAGTACCCGACCCTCTTTGATTTGGCTGAAAATTGGCATACGGGGTCTTTACATCATTCAAAGAAACTTAATTTGAAGGGTTTTCCCATCTGACCCCCCATCCCATCTGGTTCGCGAGATATCCACCCCCAAAGATGGGGTGAATTTTAGCGATATTCAAAAAGCCCGTTTTGTTTTCATTTTCTCAACTTCCCTCTCTTTGACTCTCCATAGCTAGACTTTGTATCAATAAATCATACTTTCAAAGAGTGTTGCTAGATCAATTTTTTATGTAGATTCTAAATGTGCCATCGAAATTAAGCAAAAATTATTTAAATGGCCGTAAATTAGGGTTTTTTAAAATTTACGATTTTTTTGCCATTCAATGTTCAAACTGAATCATCCAAAAAACAGTCACTCCGATTTCCGATTTTTTTTCCTACTTCAAGCTAAGGATATATACTTTCGGATGATATACTTTTTACCATGACTATCAGACGGTTAAGGGCCTAAAAAAATTCAAATAGGCCAAAATAGGTCAAAAATTGACAGAAAAAAGACAATTTTATACACATCAACCAAAGAATCTCAAAAATAAGGACTTCAAGCATCAATAATTTTTTTTTAGTTCAACCTCATCATGTATAGAATCGATTTATCAACATTTAGAGATACTCATCGATTGATTAACCACCTTGAGGAAATAGAAATTGGCCGGAAATGCTCAAAAATGACGGAAAAAGTGGTTTTCCGCCCGCTTAGGAGAGGTTTTTTTTTTCCACATGGAGAAGGTTGAGGCGAATCCGTTGGCGGACGATGTCTAAGTATTGACCAGGGTATCTTAGCTTTGACTTGACTAAGTATCCCAGCAAAAGTTACTTTAAAATGAGTAAATTTAATTTGAATAAGAAATTGAGGTTTGGCTGGACATTGTTTATGTGCAGGTTACGTACAAAATATTGCTGAATAAAATTGACGATAAACAATGCGAAAATGTAAAGGCTAAAATTTAGTAGAGGGTGAGATATCATGTTGCCTTTACCATACACCCGTATCATTTATTAGCTGGAAAACTCAGGATTACCAATCTGAAGAGTTTACTTAAACCAAAGAAAAGCCATGATACAAGTGAAGTAGAGTAAAAATAGAGCAATGGGAAACCATAGAAACTAGTTGTAGAATCTGAGGAGAAAACTAAGTTCTTGACTTGACCTAACTGCAGCATTTGAAGCCATGAATTGACCATTGAGCTTTATCAAAAGAGAAGGAAGAGGCCGACCCCAGGGACAGTTACTCTGAGTCACCTTTTTTTTGATATAGCTCGAGGATAGAGAAGATGAGAGGAACTAAAATATGAACCTCTCTATAAAAGCACCTTATAAATTGATGTGGAGTGAAAACCGAGGAAAATGTGAAGGTACACGTTATGCAAAGCAAAAAACTTGTATGCAAACCACGTAAAAAAAAATAAACGCGGACAGCGAAAGGAACCGAAGCTGCCGCTGTATCATGACGGAGCAATGAAGGTTACATTACTTGGCCAATGAGCTCTATAATTAAAAGAGAGGGAAGAGGCCGACCCCAGGGGCAGTTACTCTGAGTCACTTTCTATTGGCTCAAATCAAAATAAAAGGAAGTACCAAAACTGAAACATCAAGTTACCTTCCAAAAGCAAAAAACTAAAAAAAACACCTGATGCAGAGCCTTAAAAGTACAAAAAAATCAAAACTGTGAGGAACAACTGAAAGTCTGTAAAAAACCTGAAGTCTGAAGAAATTACGAGAGTGATAACAATCGTAAACCGAGCTTGAAAGGGGGAGGGTCAAACGCAAGTGTAGGGATGGGCGAATATTCAATATTCAAGATATCGTCACACCAAGATAATCACATCACTATCGAATGTTGGTGAAATTTTTCGAATATTCCATTAGTATTCAATTAATATTCGAAAAGGTATACCTGCGATTTTCTATTTTTTTCCCTTCAAAAGTTTGAAATTACAAGGTTAAAAAATTCCCCTCTACTTAGACCATGGAGTGCAATAGAGTCGCAATGTTCCAGTGCGCCGATGAAGTCACTTTTTGAGGGAGTTTTTTCCAGTGTTCCTGAGACTAGTGTGCGGCGACTGGCGATGCTGTTTACGGGGTCCCAGCTCCGATCTTCGCTCAGAAAATACAGGTATAAAATTTATTTCATAAAATTCGGGAGTGTTGTACATTTTTCAATTTTGAATGTCTTCAGTGAATACAATTTGCCAAAATTCGTAGAAATAACGATTGATTAAAATGAATAAATCCCGAAAACCACTCGCAGCCTGCGATTCTCTCATAAGCCGCCATATTAAAAAATGCTGAACGGTTCCCAGATGGTTCCCACTTTCCAGTGAACAAAGGACTCGGTATGGGCCATTCATGGATTGACTTCATCAGCACTCCAGTGCATTGCGACTCTATTGTACTCTACGCTGTAGACTAACAGACCATAGAGTACCTACAGACCTACATGCCCTGCGCTTGGATTGTTGAATCGTTATCAAATGACCTCGATTGATTGAATACCCTTGCCAAGATAGGGATTTATCAATCAAGTTCATTCGATAAAGATTCAAAAATCGACTCGCTGGAGTCCAACAAGTTATCACCGGTATGGTCCGAATTCGAAAAAAGTCTATCGCATGAAAAGTTTTTTTCTAAAAGTGCGAAAAATAGAGCCTTGTGCAGGCTTTGTTCTACCGCCCTGTTATATTTGCGGAGCACCGTTACGAGGAAATAAAAATCAGAGCAATAATCGAAAAGATTCGAATATTCACCTTGAAGTTTTCGATTTCTTCAATAATCGCAAAAATCGCATTCAGAAAGTTTCAAATAATCGCATTCGAATTCGATATTCGTCCATCCCAAGGCGAAGCACAGACACTAACCCCCGCGCAAGCCTGTATACTCTTCCATCCATGGGTCAAAGGGGACATCATTATGTTTGATAACGCGTCGGAATTGCGTAGACACATGTCATCGGCTAGTATATCAATGTCTCCCAATTTTTGCATTTTGTTAGAAACTATTTATTTCTTAGAATTTCTGCACTTTTTATAACAGTGTCGATAACATCTTGTGAAAAGAATAACGTTTCACCAGAGGTTGTCGTCCCTAGAGGGATCTGCTAAGCAAATAATTGGTGAAAGAGGGACAATGCAAATGTCCTCCTTCCGAGGCCAATAAAAGTAAGTTGTTCTTCTGTTTGGATGCATGAACCGCACTTTGACATTCTGTTTATCCTTGCAAATTTCTTCAACAACGCCGAAGTACCAATCTTGGTCATAAAAACAAGCAACATAACAATTTCCGTGCAACTCCTCCATTTTCTTGGAAAATATGTCATCGTATTGGTTGCAATGAAATACTAGGAAGCAGCTGGTCGGCTGAAACTCGTTTTGTGATGAGTTTAAAAGATGACAAACGTTCAAAGTAGTAGAAAGATCTAGTTCCTGGAACAGTTGTGGCAATGGAAAATGGACCTTGTAATTTGGTTCGTAGACCGTCCGTGAACTCCGGACTTCAGAACGTGAAAGCTAACAATATTTTGGATGCAAAATCAAACACTTCTTTCACAGAAATTATCGGGTTGGAGTACAGACGTTGAAGACTTGCTTTCCTAGCTAGTCTTTTTACGGCGCATTCAGTTTTGCCATGAAAAATAACAAATCTGCTTGTAGCTGAAAATCTTCGAAGTGATGCAACAAATTAAGAAAATTGTAGGTATTTTTGAACTGTCCCGCACAACCATCTGAAAAATAA